TGAGCCATGGTCCAAATAATTTGCCACCCCCTCCGAGCTACCCCCGGTTTACGAGGGCAGAAATTCTCTACGTGCTCAATGATTTCAAAAAATTGGGCAACTTCTTATACCAGAACGAAACACAAAAACTTGTACCATCTTCATTTTGTAAAATTAATTTTCTTTTCAATAGCTTCCCCATGTATAGCCTTACCCGAATCCGCATAAATGGATTCCAGTTTGTAGAAAAATTATGCTCATCAACCCTAAAAAAATTTCCCAAAAAGTTGCATATCTTTTCAGCATTCTCGAGAGTACAGTAACCCACAGGTATCCCATGAACTTGTAACTGGAAATTTGTCCAATTCAACGGAACATACAAAGGTAAATCTCCCTCTTCCAATTTTTTCAGAACAATCAGATTTTAATCAAGTAACCACTGTCCTTCCCTAGCAACTCTATTCATATCATTTTCATGATAAAATTGAAACCTAAAACGTGTAGCTCTAAGATATGTTATGGTAATACCTTTGACAAGTTTCCAGACCGACGCCATAGTGTCCCTGAAAATAGAGACACATGTCAATTTCTCATATGTTATTGTACCAACTACTGATAGATTTTCACCAGTTATCTCTGAATTCATTGATTCCACCAATAGCACCTCATCTTCTTTCTCCATCTCCATCCTTCAATAAGCTTAAGCCAAAACCTCTATCTCCTCCTAACAGTTGCCTTCTACCGCTACTCTCTTGTGTGCTGTTGTTTTCGACTGAAAATCCCTCCGACCAGAGTCCTGCTGCTTTGCTCGAAGACCTTACACACCAAAGTCTGTCTGCGAACGCTGACACTAAACCTTTAGGCATTATGCATGTCCGTCTGTACAAATTGCTAATAACAACAACAACAACAACAACAACAACAACAACAATAATAATAATAATAATAATAATAATAATAATAATAATAATGATAATGATAATGATAATGATAATGATAATGATAATGATAATGATAATGATAATGATAATGATAATGATAATGATCATGATAATGATAATGATAATGATAATGATAATGATAATGATAATGATAATGATAATGATAATGATAATGATAATGATAATGATAATGATAATGATAATGATAATGATAATGATAATGATAATGATAATGATAATGATAATGATAATGATAATGATAATGATAATGATAATGATAATGATAATGATAATGATAATGATAATGATAATGATAATGATAATGATAATGATAATGATAATGATAATGATAATAATAATAATAATAATAATAATAATAATAATAATAATAATAATAATAATAATAATAATAATAATAATAATAATAATAATAATAATAATAATAATAATAATAATAATAATAATAATAATAATAATAATAATAATAATAATAATAATAATAATAATAATAATAATAATAATAATTGATGGAACAAATTGTCCCGATCGAGTAAATAAAGAAATTAGAGCGGACCGAGTATTTTATCGTGGAAACCAAATCGATGAAAACCACGGGCCTTTTGGGCGGTACCATGCCAACATGAGCCAGGAGCTTTTATTATATTCATGGTGGGGGAGGTTATATGTACAAAGCATATGGAGCTTCTAGGGAAGCCATTAATGGAGACATGAGCTAGGAAAAAGAAATACACGAGTGTAAGAGGGTAGAGAGGGAAGTGTTGTATCGTAGGAAATGGGATAGTAGCTAGGAAATTGTCCTCCTCCTTCCTTGATGAGTAGCTAGTCATTAAACAGATAAATATTCAAGTGGTTACCATATGGGAAGTTTCCTCCTCACATACATAGGTCATACTCAAATAAGTAAAGGCATGTTGTAGGGTTGAGTGTGTTTTCTCTCAATTGTGTGAATCTGTTAATATCTTTTGTATATCTGGTTCCTGATAAGATCTTATATACAGACTGTGATGGGTCTAGAGGAATATTCTTCATCACAAGTCCCCCACTTTCTAGTGTTGTGAGTAGAGGCTCGATAGTTCTAGAAAGTAGAAATTAGAATCAGTAAATCATTTGTATGAAGCATGTCTCCAAGTAGGAAGATTGTGATGACTTAATTATCTTTTCCCTCCCTTTAATTGGTCATGTATTATTCATCCATGGAAGGTCGTCCGATTCAAGGCATAGATCAGGGCAGACCCGAGAAGCTAAGGTGTGTGCCATTGATGAATGGTTGACCTAGTCCTGTGTACTCATGAGCAGGGCAGACCCGGGAAGCCGAGATGTATGCCATAAGACAATGGTTGACCCGCCCTAGTGATCTAGTACATTGGACAGTTCGATCCTCCCATATATATGATTAAGACATGATTTTTAAATGGAGACAAAGAAAATTAAGTCTTGAGTTGAAGAAGTCATTGGGGTTTCTTCCGATCCTTCACATCATAGCAGGGGGGTGAACCTTCTGAGAATGGACCCTTCAAATAATTTTCCTCAAATAATCCAAATTTGCATGGTAGCTAACATTATTTAGCTAGTAGCATCTCGTGAAGTTTCCAAATGATGGGATCCATTAGTGACAAAAGGAAATGCCTCCATGTGGATGAAAGTACGTAGACATTAATAATGGGTGTTCGGTGGAGCGGTGATCCTCATCCTTTCAACCGATCATTTTATAAAATACACCATAGTTTCTCACGCAGTTGATGAATATTCAGGTCGGCAGTTTTTCCTTCCGCTTTGGTAGTGCGGCGGTCTTGTATAGAATTCGATGACGGAACTTCCAAGACTTCACCAGTAAAAACTTAATTCAGTCGTTGGTCCGAGCAAATGAAAGAACGGGTGAGGCGGGCAGGTCTGGCCGTCAATCAAGTTTCCTCCAGTTGATTGTTTTTTTAGTCAGGTAAGTTTTCTCCAGCTCTTCCTGCCGAGGCACGATGTATTTGCTATGAAGCAGTCTTCTCTTTCTTCTTTGGTGGGTCCCTATCTCTTCTATCATGCAGCGTAGGTCCTGCTTTGTTTTGAAACAAAATGTGAAATATATATCTAACATGCCTCACATATGTCACCCACATATATACAAGTAATATAAAATGGTAGTTGGGTTTGTAACTTTGCATGAGATTAGTTTTACCATTAAATGAAAAGGGACCCATTACTTGTGTAATATTTCAATCATACAATTTCTCAAGTGGCCTACCCTTGTTGAATGATAATACGTATTTAGAGTTCATTTATTTAATAGATCCTCTTAGCTAGTTTATTTGTTTAAATTAAAAATAATTACTACTAGTATTTAGAGTACGTTATGAACTGATATTTACATTCGAGAATAATACGTATTAGTATGCGCTATTACTTTTTTTTTTTTAGTATGCACTAGCAATGCGCATTATTTGTTTATTAGCATACATATTTTTTCTTTTCTCTTTTCAATAAAATTGTTTTGGCTTGTTATACATTTTTTTCTTCCTTTGAAGGCAGATTACTTTCTGAAATATTAATAACTACTTCGTAGTATAGACTACTTTGAAGGCAGATTAATTACCTCCTGATCAAAGCATTAATAACTACTATTCCGTATAAAAATTCTAATATTAACACTGTTTAATGCCAACAATGCTTGTATATCCCATTATTAGCAGTATGATAATGCAATAAATAATACGTAGTATTTATTATTACAAAAACATGATATATGCAATAATAGTAAACTTTTATATTTAAACAGTTCCATCTAAATATTGAAATAGTATGTAATGATGTAGGATGAACTTATCTTTTGTGATGATTCTGTGATCGTTGCTCTTCACCGGGTAGATACGGTACAAGTCATAACTCAGCTCCGCTCTCAATGAAAGCACCATTTGATGGAACAAATTGTCCCGATCGAGTAAATAAAGAAATTAGAGCGGACCGAGTATTTTATCGTGGAAACCAAATCGGTGAAAACCACGGGCCTTTTGGGCGGTACCATGCCAACGGGAGCCATGAGCTTTTATTATATTCATGGTGGGGGAGGTTATATGTACAAAGCATATGGAGCTTCTAGGGAAGCCATTAATGGAGACATGAGCTAGGAAGAAGAAATACACGAGTGTAAGAGGGGAGAGAGGGAAGTGTTGTATCGTAGGAAATGGGATAGTAGCTAGGAAATTGTCCTCCTCCTCCCTTGATGAGTAGCTAGTCATTAAACAGATAAATATTCAAGTGGGTACCATATGGGAAGTTTCCTCCTCACATACATATGTCATACTCAAATAAGTAAAGGCATGTTGTAGGGTTGAGTGTGTTTTCTCTCAATTGTGTGAATCTGTTAATATCTTCTGTATATCCGGTTCCTGATAAGATCTTATATACAAACTGCGATGGGTCTAGAGGAATATTCTCCATCAATAATAATAATAATAATAATAATAAATATTGTATAAAAAGAATGACATTATTATATCCTCTACAGTTTTGGAATGTAAAATATGACTAGATTTGTAATTCAAATGTGAATAACATTTGCACCCTTGTTGTTGAATAACGCTGACATTGTCGCTATCGGGGATTGATGGAAAAGTCATCGGAAAAAATATGACTCAGTTTTTCCAATTTCTGTTTCCAACTCATCCGAAAATCAGAAATATTTTCAGGTGACATTGAAGCGAACATTTACTAATATTGACATAATAAAGTTACTATGATGAAAAAATATCATGATATAATAATTTGAGTGCGACATTCATTTTATTCTAAATTTAATACATTAATAATGATCCATATATAAAAATACTCATTTTTGAAAAACTCTAAAATCTTTTTTCATATGAAGATATATTGAAAAATATAATATCAAAACAAATGGCACAACAAGAACAAAGGAAAGGAAGAAGGTAAGAAACGTGTCAGTTCCAATGGCAAAATTGCATATCCTGCGTTAAATTGTGCACATATGTAGTTAGAGCCTAGAGGTGTTTGCGGAAAATGTGTTTCCCTCCATTCATATGATCATATCTTTCCAAACCTCAACGAATCATATATCCACATTCAAATCTCCCCCAATGGATTAACTAAAAAAAGAAGAAATTAGGAATTTGTTCTCCTTTCACGACTTCAAGGGCATACCATAATCGTTCTCACCACCTGTTTCCGATCACCATCGCTTACTCTCCACCATCAACTTCTCTTCTCATTCTTACAGTATTGGATGAAGAAGCTTTGCAGCGTTTCTTTCGCCCTATACCTTCGCATCTTATTGTATTCTCTAGCCTTATGGAATTTCCGGTTTCGGGTAATCCTAGTTCTATGACTATCAATTATAATAAATCTAGTGGATGTTGTATCATGTATATATGTGTGTAAAATTATGACGATTCAATATTCTTAGAATGGGATTTTGATTTCTTATGGGGCAGTGGTTGGTGGACATAATTTGAGAGTCGATCAAGGAATTAAGCGTCATTTTCCAGTTCATGGAGGGTTGCAACAATGGCCGATGCATCTTCCCATTGTCAAGTTTGCAAATTGGGTAAGAAGATTAATTTCATTAGAAGTTTTGCTTTGAAAGATTTTATTTTTGGCGAATGCCACCATAGACCTTTAGTCATTTCTGTTAATGAAGGAGCACAATTCATGTTTTCTTCCCTATCATATTGAAGAAACTGAACTACTCCCGTGCAAAAATGGATTCATGTGGCCATTAATTATTTTCCATTATATGATTTTTTATAGTTCTATGTTACTAAATACATGAATGCAACTTAGAGGGAAGTATCACTTAATAAATAATAAAAGCTGAGATAATCTTGAAAAGTTACAAGTTGCTCGAATTTGATAAAAGCCAGGAGGTACTCCCTCCACACCAAACAAGTTGTTGTTTTAGCAAAGTTTTTTGTCCGAAAATGATTTTTATTTTAAGGATTCAATGTATATTGTGTCATTTGTACTACCCTCCAAAATTTACTACAATTAACTCTTCTCACATTGAATGTTTTGTATTCTGAAATAATTAGTTGCATTTAATGTTGAAAATCTATAATGTTAGAAGGGTCTTTGTGCATTTACCTTAATATGTGTGTAATTTTCTAAAATGTCAATTAATTTGGTATGCAGGGAGCAACATTTAGAATGACCCAAATGGGTCCAAATATAGATATTGGAGATGGAAATACATTTTCTTTCCTTATTTAATGCCAATTTTGACGCTCAATTTGCTATGAGATATTAACACTAACATATTTGGTATTTGGCCTTCGGCAACTAGACAAAGGACAAGTTCTAATCTCACTCATGCTATGCGTCTGATCATTATATTATGTTTACATGAATAATAGGGATTTGCAGTGCTATCTATCACGCCGCAACATTTTCTTAGCCCCCGAGAGTAAAAAAATTTATATATTAGTCGACAATCGGCCATGGTTGCAAGATCTCATCTCCCATCCGGCACACTTGTGGCAACTAATGGTCACCAAGGTAGATAAACATTTGTTTTGTCAGGAAGTACTTGCAATTCTTTTAGTTAAAAAAAAAGAAGGCATCTTTGATTTGTACTATCTTTGAAATTAATAGTCCAGAGTGTCTCCCTTTGCCAATACCAGAGGGAAGGATAAAAGACCTACAAGAGGGGCGCAAACTAAACCAAAACCGAATGAAGTCAATTCAGAGGAGGTTAAAAGATGGTTTTCTGTAGTTGATGCTGCAACCTTATCTAGGAAAAGTGCATTATTGCCTGTGAAGAAACTGAAGGTTTTATCAATAAGTAGCAACCTAAATAGGACTTTATATGGCTTCATTGTATTTGAAGTTGCTTGGAGTGATGTTCGTGGTATAAACTATTGTAATGAACTTCAGGTACCTTTTTACTCATGCCCTTCATTTGTTAAACCTCAATGAGTTAAGTAGTCACTCAAGTTTCAATTTAATGGACAGACTGATGCTTCATTTGCCCTAGAGGCTAAATTTATGAGAAGATGGGAATTTGATAGTATGACACAAGCTGCTAGATGTATACGTTCATGGTTCTCTGGGACTCATGCTGAGCGAAGTACTATGACAGAATATTTGGACCCTACTATTGGTATACTTTTGTTCATGTCGGCTGTCTTTGCATATAAATAAAAGTAACTTTATACTATTTCTTTTCTTACATTGGAATTCTTCAACTTTTCTAGGGAATGAAAAGTCATTACAGTATGAACCGTGACAACATAGAAATTACTTGTATAAAAAAATTATACTTGTTTCATAAGCCCAGAAGGCCAACGGCGCAATAGTAAATGTAATACAATTAATGTGTGTTTCACTGTTTTAGGAAAGAGGAAAACTGAATACATAGATGACTCAATATGAGACAAGGAACTATATCTTTTTTAATCAATAGGGTTATGCCATATGCGGATATATATAAAACATGAACATGTATGCATAACTTATTTTCACTGAGGGAGCATGTAGCTTAAATTGCTTAATTTATTTTTATTTTTATCTACTTGCCCAAATAATTGCTTTTCTTTTTGTTCAGACATCAACATACCTTGTGAAGCATTTTTTATTTCTGATTACTGTGTAGATAATTATTTCCATTTATTTTTGCATTGTTATTTCTGTAGGGGAGGAATTTTATGATGCCCAAGTAAATTTCTCAAGTACTAGTGTAGTAGATACCAATGATGCTACTGCTGATAGTTTCAGTAATGGAGCTAAATATATCTGTACAAGTAAAAGTTGCAGTGTGCTCCCAGAAACCATTAAGTTCAGTGCAATTTCAAGTAGGCCGTCTACAACTAATGGACCTTGTAAGAGAAGAAAAACTATCAGTGACAGACTGGACAACATTCCTGATTATTCTTGCAGTGAGCAGACTCCCTACTCATCTACGTTTGAGGATGACATAGTTGAAGCTACGAAATACAAGGACATTTTAATTTTGTTTCGGTTTAATGATCGTGATCTCCCATTTAAATTAAAGGACACTATTATGTCTGATTTGCGATTACTTACATTGTTGGAGTGTGGGCTTCCATCATGGGTCATCTTCCTACAGTCCTATCCTGGGCTTTGCCATATCTATCGTCCGTGGATGTGCCCCTTAGCAAGATTCTTATATGTTCTTATTTCTGTCATTACTGTTCTAATAGGATTTTATGATCTGTACAAAAATGTACCTCTCATCAAATCAGCAGCTTCTCATGTGTTTGGACCTTTTTTTGATTGGATAGAAACATGGGAAATGATATCAAGAATTAGATACTTGGGGACAATGTTGTTTCTCCACAATTTTGAGAAGGCCTTTAAGTGGTTTCTCTCAATGACGCGTACTGTTCAGTCTTTTCTATCAATTCTCACACAACCATTTACAGGACCATTTTCTGAGTTTTTGGAATTCTTCCTTCCGTTTTGGAACTTGTGTGATCAAGCGGCGGATAGTTTATTTTCAATGATATGGTTAGTTTTGGAGAGTTTGTTGAATCTCGTAGGAAACATCATCGAGGTCCTACTATTTCCAGTGTGGTGTATCCTATCAGTTTTTGGGACTGTCAGTAAGTATATAATACGTATGACACTCACTTTTATTTTCCCTTAAAAGCATCCTATTTGGCAAAATAAGCTAATTTTCATTATTTTTATGTATTTTTTATACATAATGTCCCCAAAAGGTTTAGCATGTTAAGATTAGTTATATCAACAAATAAATTTAAAAAGATAGCTGGATTTGATTATAACCTATGGTGTTGATCTTACTTACATTGGTGAAAGAAGACTTTTTTTGAACGGAAATAACTTAAACATTTGCATATTTTAATTTCTTATTTGGTTATTGTATTGTTCTCATTAAATCATTTATTGCAGGGACATGCTTATTGTACCCTATTCGCTTGGTCATGGGGTGCTATAGTCTTAGTGCCGGTGTATGCTCTTTCATGCATGAAGTGATTGTAGACTTATGGATGTTTTCAAGTAGTATTCTCAGACTCACTTCAGAGGTTGAGTCCACGGTGGCCTCAGCTGAGGTTTCCGCATGGCGTTCCCTTTGGAATGACCTTTTCTCCCAGGTTGGTTAGCTTCTTGCCATTATTATGAATACCTTTTGGCACACTCTCATTGGCACATCTAGTATTGCGTTCCAACTTTACTTGGTGAGCAGATTTTTCGTGCTCTTCGAAGCATTCTCAATGGTGTTGTTGCCTTCCTCATGGCCTGCAACCGGCATCGCTTAAGGTGGGATTATCATTACTTTTCCCTAGTCATGCTTCTAATCTTAGTGTAACCACGACTCATGTAGCACAAGGTTAACATTTTTCATGAATCATGATTGAACAATTGAAATTATTCTTAATTTGTTTGGGTAGAAATAGAGAGGAAAGAAATAGGGAAGATAGACATAGAAGGAAAGAAATAAATCATTATGTATTTCTTAGTATTATTCCATAGTTTTTTGCAGGAGGGTAATGGACGAGAAAAAAGAAAAAAGTGGGCGAGATGGTAGTATTTCTTTCTCAAATGAAGCAAGGAAATGGAATATAATTGATCCATTTTTTATATTTATCTTTTCATCCTTGCTTTTATTGTGTACCATCTTTAGATATAAGCGAAAGGGAGTTTTTGATTGTTTTAAAGTATCATCCATTTCTTTCTCTTTTTTCTTTCTTTCTTAATTCTGTTATACAAAACAACTCAGAGAGCCCACTTATTTTCTCATCTATTTCTCTCTTATCGATTTATGTTTAGCATATAATATCTGAAGTCCATCTTTGAACTAAATGTTCATCATATATAATAATTTGTTTGCTCTATATGATTTCATACTCGTAAGATTACAATTTCCCTTTTCAAATCATGGTATCCTTATTAAAAGAGCAATAACTTGAAGTCTGGTTTAAAAAGCTGAAGAAAAAAACTCGCACTTGGAACCGTTAGCATATTGTTCAATTTGTAGTAGTGTCATTAATTTACCTACTTAAATATTTCTATTTATGTCTAATAATTCGTTGCATTTGCAGCATTTATAATCATACAAAAGAGTTAATTAAAAAATTATCTCAATCCAGTGAGACAAGCCAGCTGACAGTTTACAGTGGACATGTATCAACAACACAAACGGTGAGTCTCATATGAGTGTAAACTTGTAGTCACTGCATGTTTTGTTGTTGGAATCCGTATTCATTGTTTTTTAAGTAACTGTACTTGATTGATTCACATAAGCAAAATAGAATATACTTCTATAGTCTAGATTAAATATACTAGCAAAAACTCTGGACCTTCTGGTTATTCCTCATTATGTGCATGTAAGGCCACCATACGTGATTTAGATCAAGGTCGTTGGGAACTTAGGGGAATAAAAGTTTGTGAATCAATGGTGATTGAAGTAAGAAATCCGGATAACCTGTCCGCTCTTAGAAAGGAAGAATAATTATTTAAAAACGATAAATTATTATTTTAGCTATTCTGCCTTGTATAGGTCAGCAGGCCACAAAAGGTTACCATTCCATAATAAATAGAATCTAGAACTATTACAACTCGTATTAAATTACTACGTATTAATTAGGATGAAACATAACAATATTACAAATAGAAAAACCCAACTATTAGGAAACAACTTTATAAAACTCAGGCAACACTTCATGTCTCATGGTCCAACCCCTTCTCCGCTCTTTATGTCGTTGATAGATGCGACCATGTAGATGTGAGCTAAAATGACTCCCAACATTATTGAAGAGCTTGGACTCATCAAGTTTGAAATCTTAGTAACTCTTCAGAAGAGTTTGAATCTCTCCCATGTAGCTTCCATGCTAACTGTCCAACACTCCAGACCACTTGATGATGAGCTCAATGATGCCTCTTTTATTATGCACACACAAGACTGATAAGGGCTGGAGCATAGCTAGTGCACTCTCCAACAGAGGTGACACACCTATAGTGCGAATTGGTACCTCGTGTGGTTCGAATAATGAGATGTGCAAGATATACTATTATGTGTAGTATTGTGGGGGAAAAACCAACCTATTTGAGGTTTGGTTAATGGGTTCCAAAATTTGAAATGGACTAAAGAATTTATGATGGCGACATACAATATAAGGCTAGTGATAGGATGAATTTGAAGCTAAACTCATTCCCGAGGCGAAGCTTAAGTCCTGGCATCCTTTATCACATTGGAGCTCCATTTGCTCTAAGCGCTTTCACCGCTTGGAGCAAAAGGGCTTTAGCCGCACAGTCGACAACATCCACCCCATGCCTGGAGTATATGAGACTCTGAGATGAGCTATGGGGGATCATGACCATACACCAAGTGGAAGGGAGTATCGCCTGAAGAGGTTGGAATGAAGTATTGTAGCAATATTTGACCCGCGACAACCATCAAACATAGTCTCGTGGAAACTCGCATGTCCCGCAACCAAGAATCATTATCATGGTGCGACTCACCACCTTCATTTGTCTTTCAATCCATTCCATTAGGGGATTAACTGGGCTAATGTTGTTAGAAAAAGTAGTGAGTTATTGCTCTAATAATTTAGACTGAAGTAATGGTATATATGTAACAGAAACTCTTGCCCCTTCTATACAAACACAGTCCTTGAAGGCACACTGCTTTGGCCAATAGTTTTCTCTTATAGACGGCTAGTTTGACAGGCCAACCCGCAATGTTATGGCTATTAGCCAAAGTGAGCAATGTGATGCACGGCTGGTGTGTGGCATATAATGGACACACAACTATTTTTTACCCAAGGAAGTAGGGTGTCGAACCACAGAGAAGCGGGAAATAAAATAATTAAGCACGAACTAAGGATTAAAGTTGAGAATGTGTTTCTTTTGATTTTTGGTTGCTTGCAAAAGTAATAAAATAAAAGTGATTGTATGAGAGATTTTTATCAACACCAAGTTCAACAAATAGCAAGTAGGGGTAGAAATTGGTAACTAATTGTTCAATGTTTAATTGAAAGACATAATTGCTAATTTTATTCTTAGATAGATTGTGAGAAGTTGTAGATAAATATTTTAGGACCCAACACAAGTCATCTAAAATAAGTAACTAGTCAACATTTCCCAGTGATGGCCAAAATGAGACTAGTTGTTTAAGTGCAACGACAACCTTAAATATTAACTATATTATTTACCCAACCCCGTGGTGTAAATAATATAATTAAATAATTAAATTCTCCCGTAAAACTTCAATCCAGGACAAGGTAAAAGAAGTTTAA